TGCGAGGGTTCTTGGAGGAGCCGGTTCCAGAGAGCCTGGCATGTTTCACCAAGTGCTTCAGGCGAGAGCTCTTTCGGAGCCAACCCCTGCCTCTCAATGCTCACCACCAAGCCCATCCGCCTCCCCTTCCTCTTCCACCAAGAGAACCTCAGGCCAAGCCAGAAATCCCCAAGGCTCCCAAGGGTCTACTTGCTCACTCTGCTTTCCTCCCTAGGGGAGGATACCAGACACTCAGAATCTGAGACCACCGAAGCCACAGACACAGAGCCGTGAACGGTGACCAAGCCCCTTCTGATGCTCCATGCCCCTAACTCGCCGCAGAGTCCCAGTCACCGGACCTGAAATAAATGCTGGCACGCTTGCTGACTGTTTTTGCTTTGTGGCATTTGATGGAACTTTCAACACGTCGGGTGAACTGGGGGTGGTCAGCTTTGGCAGCGGTGGGGTTGTAGAGGGAGAGAAGCTAGCATCTTCCTTAGGCTGTCCGCCCTCCTCCTCGAGGCAGCGCTGCTTGTTCCTGGGTCCTGGTGGCAATGGGCTGTGGCCAGTCAATGAATTTTCCACAGCTGGCGGCTCTGACCCTGGTGAGGCACTTACATGCAGGAATGAGGACGGATTAACATCTCACATGCAGGAATGAGGACGGAATAACATCTCTCTTTCCCCTAGCAATGCACACCATCTTCATAGCTGAGGAAAACTGGGCGGTGTTTACGGGCAGAGGTGGGAGGGTCATGTGGAGGAAGAATCTGTGGATCTCAGAAAAGGCGTTAACCCCTATACTGACAAAGAGTTCCCAGGCCCCCCTACGCCACCGCAAGACAGAGAGCCCTTCCAACAGACGGCCTCGTCTTCAACTACGCATTGTTCGTTTTCATAAGAGGAGGGCTTCATTTTTTTTCTTTTGCCCTCCTAAGGTGACCTTGATATGTGCTGCAACATAGTATCAGCAGGAGAATTCTGCAAAGGGGGTTGCAGCATACTTCTTCCTTTAACCTGTTAGAAATTGCAACACAAGCAATCACCAAGGTCAATGGAGAGACGGCGGGCCTTTCAGACACACAGTAATGGGTGGGAGGCCCTCATAAGGGCCCACGTCAAATTACTTTGATCTGCTTACTTTCTGAATGAGGAGCTGAGTCCCACTGGTGCTCCCAGAGCGGGCTTCTCGGCTTTGCAGGCTGGGCAGCTCTAGTGTCTCAGCACGCCCAGGGGAGAGCAACACTCTCGAGGACCCACTCCCACAGGAGGCTGACCCATCCTCCCTGCTGGCACACTCTCTTGCTTCTCTCTCATTAAGACTGAAATAAATCTGGAAGTGTTTGGTGGTTTTATGGGTCAAGATCTTTTTACACCTCTTGAGAAAATTATTTAGTTGGGATAGGGTTGGCTGTTGGAGATGGAGAGGAGCTTAAGACATATATACGTATCTGGGCTCATGTATGTGGTTACAGTCATGGGACAGCATTGCTTGTTCCTAAGTACCTGTTAGGACTGTGGCCTATAGACAATGCTTTTTCCACAGGTATCTTGCTATGGCCTTGAGGAGGGCAATTCAGTGTAACAACGCAGAAAAAGTATCATCTCTCCCTGCCCAAATGCATACACCCTTCATACCTGACAATGTTTATTGGCTTCAAATGGAGAGCAGGTGGCTTGGGATTTGGAGGAAAGGCCTCAGATTGAGGTACACATAATCGGCTCCCGCTATCCCCACCCCAAACTAAGACAGAGCCCTTCCAAAACCCTTTCCCCATTCACCTCAGATTGCATGTTTTCATATTATGATACCTCCACCCCCGCTGCACCACCCCACCACCACCACCACCACCTCCAGCCTTTCCTTGACGCCAGCAGAGGAATGCGAGTGAGGGGTTACAACGTAATATTATCTGGATCCTACATATCCTAGGGTAGGCCCTGAGAGAACTGGTGCCAGGATCCCACGGTGTTTGTGATGAAGGGCACAAAAAGGCTGTGCAAGGCCAACGGGCAGGGATGTAAAACATGCACGTCAATCTCTAAGAACTGAAGATAATTTTAGGCTAGTTATTATGATCACTATACCCACCAGGACCATTCTAAGGCATGGAGAATACTGGTCCTTTGAAAACCACGCTGGTGCTGGCCACTGTAATTTTGGTAGGGTTTGGCCTTCATCAGATCCTTCCCTGCTCAGGAAACCTCCATAGCTTCCTGGGCCCCCCAAATCAGGTTAGAGCCATCAAGGCTCTTCCTGGCTTCGCTCCAGGCTAGTCTAGACTTATCTCTCACCCCGACAAACAGTTTTCCCTCGATATAAACAGGATAACTTATCCATTCTAACATCTAGGCCTTTGTTTCTTAAAACAACAACAACTAACCGTAGTCATATAACCCACTGAGCTCTGTCTCTCCCAGGCTTCAGGGGCGAACATCTGCTCAGTGGCTTCTGGGAATCAGCTCCGGTGAGGGCAACACTTACCCTCTTGCCCATCGCTCCTTACGGATGCTGAATATAAAGCACCTGCTGTGTGCACTGTGGAAACTGCACAGGACAGCTTCTAGGCATGCCACAGGTGGAGTCTTTTCTCTGGCTCATCCAAGAGCCAAGAGCAGCTGCTTTCCAAAGAGTCACTTTCCACTACACGTTTATTTATTATTATTATTTTTTAATCTCTCAGCCATGAAGTCCACCAACTGAGGATCATGGCTCCTGTACAGGTCCCCACCCCCAGATCCTCTCCCCAGTCTCCCGAAATTCTAACCTTCCAGTTCCACTGAAGAACATGGGATTGCTCCCGACGCCCACCATACCCTGCCTCGGGGACACACTGCACTTACTACTCCTTCAGTGCTTCAGATCTCAGATGGCATCTCACTACAGGGTAGCCCTCCTTGTTCCCAGACATCCGCCACCCAGGGTTAAGTGTCTCACCTCTAGGCTCCCATACCACCTGGTCCTTATCCTCGCCCCAGCAATTAATACATCAAACTGCCACATCTGGCTGATTTACTTACATGACAGCCCCATCTAGACTCTCAGATGTGGGGCAGAGGCTGAGTCTGGTGCATTCCTGTATCTGCAGCGCCCGGCACAGTGCCTCACATATAGTAGGTAGTCAGTAAATGTATGTTGAATAAATGAGTCGATGAGCAAGGTGTCTAATTCATTGAATTTTTATTTTTCCCTACATTCTGGAGAACTAGGCAAATACAAGCAGAGAGCGGTTGTAATTTTGTGCAACAGACACTGACCGGCTTTTTATTTTATCTTTGTATATTTGGAGGGGGGGAAGGATTGTACTGGTAAAGTCTCTCAAACCTTCAAAGAACAGCTTATTCCAATGCTATAATAAGTTACAGGCATAAAATGAGATAGTCTCCCAATTTCTTTTATGAAACAGCAAATCTCTCCTGCTAAAACCGAAACAGAGAAAAATAAAACATTTGACCAATGTCATTCATAAACCTAGATGTTCAACTTAAGTACTCAATCAAGTGTCTATGGAACAAAGGATTTTGAAAAAATGCTTAAGGATGGCGTTTGTTTCAACTTTGATACAATTCTGCCATCATGTAGTTTTAACCAGTTTACTTCCTGTAAATTGATCGTCATTATAAAACAAGTTAATTAAGGCAAACAAAACTTTGCAATATGCAAATTGAAAGCTAAATCACTGAGAAACACAAATAGAACTGGAACACAGATACCATGGGCGGCAGGTTCTCCCTAACCCCACTCTACCCTTCGACTCTCGAAAAGTCAGGACCCCAGCGCCCACTGCTGTGGGGCCCTTTTGACTATCTACAGCAAAACAAAGTGAAGACTCAGCCTCAGTCTTCACTGCTGGCAGGAGGAGTCCCTGACGCTAGCCTGAGATTGCAACCACCCTGGCACTGTCCCGGGTACTGATAATTGCTCCAGCCATGGCTCTAGCCCTGGCACTGGCAACTGGCACTTGCATTGGTGCTGGTGCTGATGCTTGCTTCAGCCATGGCATAGGCCCTGGAACTGGAACTGGCACTAACACTGGCACTTGTCACGTCACCAACGGCAGCTGCCATCTCGGGCACGGGGTATCTCCTCCTCTTCTCTCAATGCCTCATTTACTGCCACGGAAAGGAACCGGGGTGGGTGTCCTTCACTTTGGTCACAAACTTCGGGACTTCCATCTGTCTTGTTTCCTTTGAGAGCCCCCACAAGAATACCTAGAGCGTGGGATTACTGTGGGACACCTATTTGTGCACCAGGTACTTCTGCTGCACACTAGCTTTGGTGATGAGCTTCACGGACTCCCCAAAGACGAAATGCTTTTTAGACGAAATGTGCCTCCAACACCCTCAACACCTCCCAGACCACCTCCTCGGGGACACAGCTGGCCTGCATGAAGATGGAGTCCAGAGTAATCATCGGGAGCCGGGTCTTTGGTGTGCCCTGGTCGCCTGTCAGGCCCCAAACCAGGGCAGGATCGATTTTTCTGATCAAGACATAGGAGTGCTCTGCTGAATCAAGTTCCTTCAGATAGAACCCAAAGCCTAACTCGGGGAGGTCAGAGGCTTCCTTGAAAATCTCAGGGAGGAAGCTCCTGTACCTTTTGATGACATACTTCAGCATGTCTGCCCTTTTGATCGCCACCGTCTTCCGGTTCTTAACCAGCAGGTACTGCACCAGCTCAGCTACTTTCTAGCTCACAGGGCCCCTGGGCATGCGCATCGGGGATGTTGGGGGCCCGCGGGGTACTGCGGGGGCGGGGGCGGGAGGCTGCGGGGGCGGCGGGGGCGCGGGGCGGGGCAGACAGTTGCCTAGGGGTTTCTGGGGTCTACAAAGGAACTTTCAGAAGCACCTGAGCAGGGGCTCCACGCCTCAGAAGAAGTGCTCCCAGGGCTCCGGGGAGCACTTGCTGTCCCCGCTGCAGGCGCCCCCATGGGGGTTTCTTAGGCAAGGAGGAGAGGAGGAGGCCACCGGGCCTCTGAGACCCGCAGGCCCTGGGTGTCACCTCTACCGCGGACGTTCTCACCTGCGGCTTTGGCTGGCCCAGGAAGCAGGAACTCTGGGAAGAGATGCGCGTCCACGGGCATTCGGCGGCCTGAGCGCTGTGTGCCAGGCCGCGAGGACAGTGACGTCGCCGCGGCTGCTGCGGCGGCTGCTGAGAAGACCCGGAGCCCCAGGGTCTTGAGTTGGAGACTGCCGCCCTCAGACCGGCAGGAGGAAGAGGAGGAAGCGGGAGGGGAGGGGGCTAAGCCTCCGCCGCCCGGGTCTTCCCGGAGCTGTGGGAATGGGCGGGCGCCGCCCCGCAGTGCCTCTTCTGGCAGAAAACAGTACCGCAGGCTAGAGCCTGAGGGATGCGGGGGCGCTGCTCCCAGAGGTGGGGCTGCTCATGTGAGGCTTGAAAGAGACCATAAGCCTAGAAGCCACGCCCAGTGGAAGCGCTTAATGACTGTTACCTGTTGTGATGAATCCGATCATTCTGGATTATCTTCGTATCCCTCCTTCTCTCCTGTGGAGAATACTCCCTAAGAGCGTAGGCATTTCTGTCCAGCGGCTGCCTCTGCAGCTTCCTCTTCAGATCATCTACCTGAAGCTGCTTTGCTCAGTGCCTGGCCTAGAGTAACCACTTAGTGAGTTTTCCTTTGCGTTCCTTTCATTATTATAGCGTACATCGTATCTACATTGCTTGCACCGTGTGGTCATCGAGATGTGGAGGAAGGACCCGGGAAACAAGTGACCTCCATGGAGAACTGAAGATATGTTTCCTTTTCTTTATGATCAGTGGATCTGGGGTGCACAACATCAGTTCTCTTGTGTATTATTTCTCTCCTACACAGTCTGGAAAGTTATTGTTAATTGTAATCTAACTTTCCAAACCACCATTCGCATAATGACATCCTCTTCTTACTTCTCTTACTCCCATGTCACTGCGCCTCATCCTTTCTCTACAGAGCGCGCTCCCATTTCAATTCTCGTCTGAGATTTGGGGACCTTAAATGGACTCCTGCTTTGAGGTCAGCCGCTAGGAAGCCTGCAAATAAATAGCAAGAAGACTCCTCCACTCCAGCAAGTGCGTTCTCTTATTGTATCATGTGGTACAACTTAGCATTCCTTTCTTTCATCCTAACCTTTCTAGACAGTAACCAGCACAGCCTCCTCACACATAACAAAACGGTCACGTTGTTGTTGTTGTTGTTGTTGTTGTTGTTGTTGTTACGGAGTCTCGCTCTTGTCACTCAGGCTGGAGTGCAGTGGTGCGATCTCGGCTCACTGCAACCTCCGTCTCCTGAGTTCAAGCTTCTCCTGCCTCAGCCTCCTGAGTAGCTAGGATTACAGGCGCCTGCCACCACGCCCGGCTAATATTTGCACTTTTAGTAGAGACGGGGTTTTGCCCTGTTGGCCAGGCTGGTCTTGAATGCCTGACCTCAAGCCCGCCTTCCTCAGCCTCCCAAAGTGCTGGGATTACGGTTGACCTTTTTTTTTTTTTTTTTTTTTTTTTTTTTTTTTTTTTTTTTTTGACACGGAGTCTGGCTCTGTCGCCCAGGCTGGAGTGCAGTGGTGCAATCTCGGCTCACTGCAAGCTCTGCCTCCTGGGTTCACGCCATTCTCCTGCCTCAGCCTCCTGAGTAGCTGGGACGACAGGCGCCCGCCACCAGGCCTGGTTAATTTTTTGTATATTTAGTAGAGACAGGGTTTCACCGTGTTAGCCAGGATGGTCTCGATCTCCTGACCTCGTGATCCGCCCTCCTCGGCCTCCCAAAGTGCTGGGATTACAGGCGTGAGCCACCGTGCCCGGCTTACGGTCGACTTTTATATAGCAATTGTTATACTTCGCAATAACATGTACTAAATTTCCATATAATATCCACGCTTGCACTTCAAATTTCTTCCATTGATCTAAATTCTGTTGTTGCTAATTCTGCTGTAAAGATTTAGAAATTGTTTTTGTGTGAGTAGAACTAATTCCCCCCTCACTATTCTTCTTTTACAAAATTTTTTCAAAATATTTTGGAAAATGTTGTCCTCTATAAGAACTTCAAAATCAAAGTTTTCAAGTTAAAAAAAATATCCCTGGCTTGAATTTTAACTAGAATTTCTTAGGACTTATAGTTTACTATGAGAATAAATAACATCTCACTAACACGAGAAGATGGAGGCTCCTCAGCCACAAAATATAGCATGTTCTTCATCTTCTTCCATTGATTCTGCTTTTTAATCAGAATACTTCAGTCACCTTTTAGTTTGCTTTATATAGCTTTTGCATAATTCTTACGTTTGTCTTTAAGTTTGGCAGTCTTTTTAGTTTCATTACTGCTATGAATTCTGTATTTCTCATTATATCTTCTAAGTACTTATTTCTGACATACAGGAAGCCTCCTGGTTTTGTATACTTTGGGGCATACGGCCATCTTAATATCACCTCTTTAATCAGAATGCTTTTTCAGTGGATTCTCGCACATTTTCTAGGTAGGCAATCACAGTCTCTGCATATTGTTAATACAATATTCATTTTCCCTTTTCTTATCACGCTGACTAGGACCGTGGTACCCTGTTAGCTAATAGCGGTGATGTGAAGCTTTTTTGTTGTCGTTGTTCCCGCTCTTCATGGGAAGGACTCTGTTCATTTGGGGCTAAGTATGTTGTTGGTTTCAGATACCGATTGTGACATTTATCAACATATTGTCTGTCAGGTCCAAGTTACTCCTTCTTTGCCCTGCTTTGTCACACTAGAGGTGATCCTTGTGAATCTTTCTCCTATGCCAGCTAACAGAATGTTAGGCTCTGGCCATAGAGAGCACTGGGGGTGACTCTACAAATCCCAGCAGGAAAATTCGTCCCTCCTCCTAGTAGCAGTCTCCCGTTTGATGATATTCACTGAAGGAGATCAGAGACCAGTGCAGGCAAGCTCCAGCTGCACCTCCAGACCATGATCTCCCTACTATCAGTTGCCTCTGAACAGCTCCAGCCTTTGCATGCACCACCACCGCCCACCACCTTCCTGCCTTGGCGGTCTTTTCCACAGACCAGCAAAGGCCCACACTCTCTGGTAAGTTTCCACACCACTGGCAGGCTGCAAGTTCTTTTGGCAGCCACATCCTCTTCAAAGAGGTCTGATTCTCAGCTGGGGAGGGACGGTGAACTCTCCTACTCCTTTATTGCCTGCTATTCCTCATCCTAGAGGTAGTAGCTGCTCTATTGCAGCTGCTACTCCTGGACCCCTTAAAGTTCTCAAAGTTCTCTTTTATGCCTTTTAGTAGGTAACCTCCTTCTACCACTTAGCTATGTTTTGTATTCACTGTGCTCTGTCCAAATAACCTTCATGGTTTCTCTCTCTTGATTGGGCCCCGACTCACATACCACTTATCAACCTGGAGATGTTTCCCTGTAAACCAAACTTTTTAGCAGGCTTTCTTCTTCACCTTCACCGCCAACTCCTCCTCCCTCTCCTTCATTTTCTTCCTCTTATTCTTGTTTGCCAATGTACTTTAAATTGCATCAAACGTCTTGTCATTATCAATCAAATTATTCACATCGTTTTTCTTCCATAAGGGCTTTTTATATTTAAAGAAGCCTGGAAAATGCAGACAACAGAAACAAGAGATATGCATTAGAAATCATTGCAATGGGCGGGGTGCGGTAGCTCTTGCCTGTAATCCCGGCACTTTGGGAGGCTGAGGCACACGGATCATGAGGTCGGGAGATCGAGACCATCCTGGCCAACATGGTAAAACCCCGTCTCTACTAAAAATATAAAAATTAGCTGGGCGTGGTAGCGCGTGCCTGTAGTCCCAGCTACTCGGGAGGCTGAGGCAAGAGAATCGCTTGAACCTGGGAGGCAGAGGTTGCAGTGAGCTGAGATCGTGCCACTGCACTCCAGCTTGGTGACAGAGCGAGACTGTGTCTCAAAAAAAAAAAAAAAAAAAAGAAAGAAAGAAAAAGAAAAAGAAATCATTGCAACGCACTGTAGTGGGAATTATACAAGTTTCTTTAAAACTGTAACTGGTGAGTCTTTGGCTGCAGACTCTCATTAAGATACTGTAAGTACTATAGAATCCTCTCTACATTGCCCACTGAACCCAACTGCTGGTTATGTGGAGGGTTTTAGCCTGTGAGGTGAAGAAGAGCTCTGTTCCCTGGATCGCTCCCCACTGTAGTATTTGCTCACAACTGCTCTCTGTTCTCCCCATGACCAATCACCCAACCTCACCAAAAAGCTATCCAATCCACTACTGTGTCCACAGACAGACCTGAGAGGGCCTCTGCAGGCCGAGGAAAGAGGAAAAGCCAAGGCCAAAATGCTTTACACTTTTGAAGAGGGACTGCCAGAGGATGACCCAAGCTGAGAGCAGTGTGCTTGCTAGGCATACTCAGACTTAGTGATGCATTCAAGCTTCCTTCTCCTCATGCTCTCTCTCTGCTTCTCTCTGCAGCAGCATAGGCCTATGCCCTGCCTCCCTTTACCACCCCACACACTGCCCACGCTAGCCTGCTCTAAAAAAGTAAAGAAAATGTAGAAAACGGGCAAAACATATGGACCTACTACCCAGAGTCAGAAATTCAGATGGCCAATAAACCTGCATGTTGTGCACATGTATTCCAGAACTTAAAGTATAATAATAAAAAACAAACAAACAAACAAAATCTTCAGGTCGGGCACAATGGCTCACACCTGTAATCCCAGCGCTTTGGGAGGCTGAGGCGGGCAGATCTCTTGAGGTCAGGAGTTTGAGACCAGCCTGGCCAACATGGTGACACCCTGCCTCGACTAAAAATACAAAAATTAGTCGGGCGTGATGGTGCACGCCTGTAATCCCAGCCACTTGGGAGGCTGAGGCAGGAGAATCGAAAAAAGAAAATTCTTTGATCCCACCGGCAATCAGGGAAATACTCAAAAAACAACAAAGAGATACAATTCTTTACCCAACATTCAGAAAATCCATTTTTAAGCAGATTAATATCAAATATGGCAGAACACCATTGTAAAGACTGTCAGTTAGCTATACAATATTGAATGCATATACACTCAACAACAAAAATTCACTTATAGGTACTCATCCTTCGTATTGGTACCGAATAAAATAATGGACTCCCAGTTAAGCTTGAATTTCAGATCCACAGCAAACACTTTTTTAGTATAAGTGTGTCCTGTATGCAATATTTGAGACATTCTTATACTAAAACACTTACTAAATGCTAAGAAATTATTCATTGCTTATGGGAAATTCAAAGGTAACTGGGTTTCCTGTACTTTTATTTGCTAACTCTGGCGACCCTAATCCTAGAGAACCACCGAATCCTATGCACAAAGAGATGTGTGCAAGAATTGTCGTTGCTGTCTTGTATATAATGGTTACCAAAATTGAAAATGACAAAAATATTCATCAATAAGAGAATGCTTTTAAAAACTACACTGTGACTAACTACCATGTGTAAGTTGAATGATTAAGGAAGACGTACAGGTATGATGTGGAAAAACGTCTATTCTTGAGTTATAAAATGTTGAGGAACAATATATAGGATTGTAATTATTTAGTAACACAAAGCAAAACTCAATTATACATTTATATGGGTAAAAATACACTAGTGTAAATGCACAGAACAGGTCTAAAAGGCTACTCATCAACCTTTTAAGAGTATCACACACCGGGGCCTATCATGGGGAGGGAGGGATTGCATTGGGAGTTATACCTCATGTAAATGACGAGTTGATGGGTGCTGACGAGTTGATGGGTGCAGCACACCAACATGGCACAAGTATACATATGTAACAAACCTGCACGTTATGCACATGTACCCTAGAACTTAAAGTATAATAATAATTAAAAAAATAAATTAAAAAAAAAAGAGTGTCACCTTTGGAGTGGGGCTTTTTATTTGGGGGTACTGAAGTATGTACTTTCTATCAAATGTCCATCATTGCAACACTGACTTGCAGTGCCAACAGATGTTACACTTATCAAATTCTCTACATGCAAAGGTCTGTCTCTGGGCTTTGTGATCTTTTCTGTTGACCTATTTATCTTGTCTTGAGCCAACACAACACTGTTCTAATTAGGATATCTTTATCATATGCATAATTTACATTATGGCAAGTTCCCCCTGAGTTCTTACTATCCAAAATTGCGTAAGAGTAGCTGCATGTCCTATTCTGTTACGTCCATAAGAAAATTCTCAACTGGCAAGTTCAGTTTGACCTTGGTCAGGGAACAAGGATCACCCGTATAGTTCCATCCCAGCTCTGTTC